ATGGTCTTGGGATGAACCCGATTTTTGGGATTTTCTGCCCAAAAGTGAATGGTGATGGAGCAAAAATTCACAGTTCATTGTCTTGGGATAAACCAAATTTTTGGGGTTTCTGCCCAAAAATGAATGGTGATGGTGGAGCAAAAATCCACTGTTCATGGTCTTTGGCTGAGCCAAATTTTTGGGGTTTTGTGCCCAAAAAGTGAATGGGGTGGAGTCCCCCAGTTCATGGTCTTGGAGAGAACCAAACTTTTGGGATTTTCTGCCCAAAAGTGAATGGTGATTGTGGAACAAAATCCATAATTAATTGTCTTGGGGTGAGGCAAATTTTGGGGGTTTTGTGCTCAAAAAGTGAATTGTGATGGTGGAGATAATTCCACAATTTATGGTCTTGGGATGGACCCGATTTTTGGGGTTTTCTGTCCAAAAGGGAGTGGTGGTGGTGGTGCAAAAATTCACAGTTCATGGTCTTGGGATGAACACAATTTTTGGGATTTTCTGCCCAAAACTGAATGGTGATGGTGGAAAAAAACCCCACAGTTCATGGTCTTGGAGTGAACCCAATTTTTGGGGTTTTCTGCCCAAAAATGAATGGTGATGGAGCAAAAATGCACAGTCCATGGTCTTGGGGAGAACCAAAATTTTGGGATTTTCTGCCCAGAAGTGAATGGTGATGGAACAAAAACCCACAGTTCATGGTCTTCGGGTGGTCCAAACTTTTGGGGTTTTGTGCTCAAAAAGTGAATGGTGGTGGAGAAAAACCCGCAGTTCGTGGTCTTTGGATGAACCCAATATTGGGGATTTTCTGCCCAAAACTGAATAGTGATGGTGGAGCCAAAAATTTACAGTTCATGGTCTTTGGCTGAGCCAAATTTTTAGGGTTTTCTGCCCAAAAAGTGAATGGAGATAGTGGAGCAAAAATTCGGAGTTCATGGTTTTGGGATGACCCAAATTTTTGGGATTTTCTGTCCAAAAGTGGATGGTGATGGTGGAACAAAATCCATAATTAATTGTCTTGGGGTGAGGCAAATTTTTGGGATTTTCTGCCCAAAAATGAATGGTGATGGAGCAAAAACCCACAGTTCATGGTCTTGGGATGAACCCGATTTTTGGGATTTTCTGCCCAAAAATGAATGGTGATGGTAGAACAAAAATCCATAATTAATTGTTTTGGGGAAACCCAATTTTTGGGATTTTCTGCCCAAAAGTGAATGGTGGTGGAGCCAAAAATTCACAGTTCATTGTCTTGGGATGAACCCAATTTTTGGGATTTTCTTCCCAAAACTGAATGGTGATGGAACAGAAATCCACAATTTATGGTCTTGGGTAGAACCCAATTTTTGGGATTTTCTGCCCAAAAGTGAATGGTGATGGTGGAGCAAAAATCCACAGTTCATGGTCTTGGGATGAACCCAATTTTTGGGGTTTTCTGTCCAAAATGAATGGTGATGGTAGAACAAAATCCATAATTAATTGTCTTGGGGTGAGGAAAATTTTTGGGGTTTTGTGCCCAAAAGTGGATGGTGGTAGAGCAAAAATCCACAGTTCATGGTCTTGAGGTGAACCCAATATTGGGGTTTTCTGCCCAAAACTGAATGGTGATGGAGCAAAAACCCACAGTTCATGGTCTTGGGGAGAACCCAGTTTTGGGGTTTTTTTTTCCCAAAAATTGAATGGGGATGATGGAATAAAACCCACAGTTCATTGTCTTTGGCTGAGCCAGATTTTTGGGGTTTTCTGCCCAAAAGTGAATGGAGATAGTGGAGCAAAAATTCACAGTTCATGGTCTTGGGGAGAACCAAATTTTTGGGGTTTTCTGCCCAAAAGTGAATGGTGATGGAGCAAAAATTCACAGTTCATGGTCTTGGGATGAACCCAATTTTTGGGGTTTTCTGTCCAAAATGAATGGTGATGGTGGAACAAAATCCATAATTAATTGTCTTGGGGTGAGGCAAATTTTTGGGGTTTTGTGTCCAAAAGTGGATGGTGATGGTGGACAAAAACCCCACAGTTCATGGTCTTGGGGAGAATCAAATTTTTCAGGTTTTCTGCCCAAAACTGAAATCCCTGAGTAGTTTTGGCCCTTCTGATGCTGTTTTTGCTGCCTTTTTTTTCATTTTCCATCCCTCACCCTCCGAGTCTCTGTTCAATTGGCTGAAAATCCCTTTTTTCTTCCCAAAATTTGCCTCTTGCTGGAAAATCCCTTTTTTCTTCCTGAAATCTGCCTTTCTCTGAAAATCCCATTTTTCTCCTCAAAATCATCCTTTTGCTAAAAAAAACCTTTTTTCTCCTCAAGTTCTTGATGAAAATTCCCATTTTTTTCTCCTCAAATTCTTACTGAAAATCCCCATTTTTCTCAAATTCTTGTTGAAAATCCCCATTTGTTTTAAGTTCTTGTTGAAAATCCCCTTTCTCCTCAAATTCTTACTGAAAATCCCCATTTTTTCTCCTCAAATTCTTATTGAAAATCCCCATTTTTTCTCCTCAAATTCTTATTGAAAATCCCCATTTTTTCTCCTCAAGTTCTTATTGAAAATCCCCATTTTTCTCAAATTCTTGTTGAAAATCCCCATTTTCTCCTCAAATTCTTCTTGAAAATCCCCATTTTCTCCTCTCCACTTGGATGAGTTTTTGTCCCATAAATTCCAGATTTTTCTTGGAAAAAAAATAAAATTTATTGTGTTTTCTGCTAATTTTCCTCTGTGTCTCCTTGCAGGATTCATGAATAAAATCTTCCATCCCAACATCGATGAGGCGTAAGTGAATTTTTGATATTTTCCCCTTTTTTTTGATTCCGTTCTTCAGCAAAAATCCAATTTTATTTTCCCTCAAATAGAAGATTTGAGGAGTTAAAAGCCATTGGCCATAAATACGAAATATTTTTATATATTTATTCTGTAAATAGGAATAAATCAGGGAATGGGTAGGGGAGGTTTAATTTATATTAAATTTATTAAATTCCCAGATTTTTTTTCCATTATTAATTCCATTTTTTTCCACATTTTCCAGGTCAGGAACTGTATGTCTAGATGTAATCAATCAGACTTGGACAGCTCTCTATGGTGAGTTGATCTTTTCCTTTTATTGGGGACACAGATAATTTCAATCCTCTTTTTT